CCTGTGTTTGTTTGTTTGTTTTTAATTTAAAGATTATTTATTTATTTGAGAGAGAGAGAAAGAGCATAAGCAGGGAGAATGGCAGAGGGAGAAGCAGGCTCCCCGCTGAGCAGGGAGCCCAGTGCGGGGCTCCATCCCTGGACCCTGGGATCATGACCTGAGCCGAAGGCAGAGGCCCAAGTGACTGAGCCACCCAGGCATCCCAGCAGCTCTTGGACTGGTACTAGTCCAGAATAGTAGTGTAATAATTGGGGGGTGGAAAGCACCTACTTTGTGTCAGATCCTGTGCCAGAGGCCTTGCAGGGATCCTCTTAGTTTTTACCTGCTATGTGGGTGAGGAGAAATGGAACCTGGCCCAACGGCACATAGCTAGTAAGTGGTGGCATCGGATTTGAAGCCAAGTACTACAGAACTGACTGCTCTGGTCTGTCTCTGTGACAGAATTAGTTTCCCTCTGATCTTAGCAAACTAAAAGATGGTAAATAAGTTTGTCACGAAGCTAAGTTTAGTTTAAAGGACTGTGTGTTACTCTGAAATACTTATTTTTTTGTTTTTAACTTTTTTGGGTTATTGAATATTTAGTTTCTGAAGTTTGGTGAAAGAAAAATATATATCCTGGGGTGCCTGGGTGGCTCAGTCGTTAAGCGTCTGCCTTCGGCTCAGGTCATGATCCCCGGGTCCTGGGATCGAGCCCCACATCGGGCTCCTCGCTCTGCAGGAGGCCTGCTTCTCCCTCTCCCACTCCCCCAGCTTGTGTTCCCTCTCTAGCTGTCTCTCTCTCTCTCTGTGTCAAATAAATAAATAAAATCTTTAAAAAAAAAAAAAGAAAAATACATATCCTGAAGTTAATGTAGTTAATGTTTTTGTTATTTTGTTTATTTGGCAAAATGAGTATTGAGTATTGGTAGCTGTGTTGCCCCACCTTTGTTTGCTTTTAGTTTTATTGACATGTGACTTTTTTTTTTTTTTAAAGACCTTATGTATGTGAGAGAGGAAGAGATAGAACATGGGGGGGAGGGCAAAGGGAGAGGGAGAAGCAGGCTCCCTGCTGAGCAGGGGGGCTCATTTCAGGGTGCTCGATCCCAGGACCCTGGGACCATGACCTGAGCCGAAGGCAGACGCTTCACCGACTGAGCCACCCAGGCGCCCTGACACATGACATTTATTTTTATTTTTATTTTTTTAAGATTTTTATTTATTTATTTGAGAGAGAGAACGAGAGAGAGATAGCATGAGAGGGGGGAGGGTCAGAGGGAGAAGCA